ACCAACTCTAGCTACCTTATGTAAAGAATCACTTGCCTTTTAGACTTGCTGAGTCATTAGATCTTCCTGCTCTATATCCAATAAAGGATTGCTCCATCACCTCCAAAGTACTCCAAATCTTGCACACATGATCAGTTGGAATTAGGTGAGGTAGCACAGAACATGTCCAAAGGAGAGATTTTCTTGCTCTTTAATGGGTGAGGAGGGGGTAGTTGTGGTTAGTTGTAATAATGTTAAAAAGAAAAAAGAAAAGAAAGTGTCTTTTGTCAATTGTGTCAATAGTGTCAATTGATCATTAAAAAGAAACAGAAGAGAGCTGAAGGAAATTCAAAAAAGGATACAAACAAACCAGTTAGTCAACTAACATTTGTTGAGTTCTTGCTATGTATCAGGCACTGTGCTAAGTGCTAGGGATACAAAGAAAAGTAAAAGATGGCCCCTTCTCTTGAGGAACTCACAATCTAATGAGGGTGAGAACACGCAAATTCCTCTGTGCAAACCAGCTATATACAAGATAAATTGGAAATTATTAACAGAGGAAAGGCACTGGAATTAACAGGGAATGTAGAAAGGCTTCCTGTAGAAGTTGCAATTTTAGGTGGGACTTGAAGGAATCGAGGAAGGCAGAAATGAGGAGAGAGAGCATTCCATGCACAGAGGATAGCTGGTAAACTGAGTAGAGTAGGGAGATGGAGTGTCTTGTTTGAGGTGCAATAAGGAATCCAGTTCACTGGATTGAAAAGTATGTGATGGGATGTAAGGTGTAGGAAGACTGAAATTATAGAAGGAGACCAAGTTGTGAAGGGCTTTGAATGCTAAACAAATTTTATTTTTGAGTCTGGAGGTGACAGGGAGCCCACAGAATTTGTTCAAATATTGAGGGACCACAATCAGGATCACAAAAGATTTAGCAACTATCCCTATAAAGCAAAGAATGTGGAATGTGAGACTCCAAATGGCAAAAATAACTTACTCAGAAAAAGTAAGTATAATCTTACAAGGGGGGAAAATGGATCTTCTATGAAATAGAGATTTTCAAACACACCTGATGAAAAGATTGGAGTTGGATGCAAATATGGAAGTCAAAATGAAAAAGAAAGTAAAAAATGAACAATCAGAATGAACTTTTAAAGGATGAACTATTTAAATTCTAATACAGGCAGAATGCTAAAAGTGTAAACATTTCACAAGGGGTCATAAAAGTAATCAATTGAAACTGAAGATCTATAAATAGTTTTGTTATGTTTTGAAGATGCTGTAAGAAAAAAAGAAAAGGGGGTGGGAAAAGTATATATTGGGAGGAATGGGGGAACGCATTGATACACATAATCAGATTGCTCAAATAGAACTGCATACAAAAATGGAAGGAGTAGGAGAAGTATCACCTGAACTTTGCTTTCATCTAGACAGGTCAAAAGAAGGCAGAATGCGCACACACACACACACACACACACACACACACACACACATGTTTGGTGTAGAAATATGTGCAACTCGATAGGGATACAGACAGGAATATGAAGAGTGAGAATAAGAGCTCAAGAAGGAGAAATTAGTCATAAGTAAAACAAACTCTAAACTTGAATAGGGGATAGTGAAGAGAAAGTTGACAGGAAAGAGTAGCAACTTGAAATAAACATGAACTGAAGAGTATAGGAAGGGAAAGTATAACAGAATATGACGGAAGGAAATAAAGAATTAACTATCATAGCTGTGAATGTGAAAGGCATGAATTCATCCATAAAATGGAAAAGGATAGCAGAATGGATTAGAAATCCAAATCTTACAATATATTGTTTACAAAAAACATACCTGAAACATAAAGACACAGAGTTAAAATAAAGGGTGGGAGCAAAATCTATCATACCTCAGCTGAACACACACACAGATACACACAATCAGGTATAGCAATTCTGATCTCAGATAAGACACAACACCACAAATAAATTTAATTAAAAAGAGAAGTTACATGTTGCTGAGAAGTAACATGTATAATGAATTGATTGTAATACGCTAAATATATTCATTGAATACCATAGCTTTGAAATACTTTAAAGGAAAAGCTAAATGAATTACAAGGAGAAATAAACAGCAAAACTATGATAGTGGAGGAACTCAATTTATACCTATCAATCTTAGATAAATCTAACAACAACAACAAACCAAGAAAGAAGTTAAGGACCTTAGTAGAAATTTTTAAAAACAGGTATGATAGATATCACATTTCTTTCTTTTGTGTGTGTGTCCAACTCTTCATGACTCCAGTGGAATTTTCTTGGCAAAGATACTGGATACTATTTTCTTCTCCAGAAACTAATGGAAACAGAGGTTAAGAGACTTGCCCAAGGTCACACAGCTAGTAAGTGTCTGAGGCTGAATTTGAATTCAAGTCCTTCTGACTCCAGATATAGCACTTTATCCGCTGTGCCACCTAGCTGCCTTTAATAGACATCTAGTAATTATTAAATAAAAATGGAAAGGAGTATACATATATTTCAACTATAATTACACTTTGACAAAAATTGATCATGTGTTAGGTTATAAAAATACACAGCCCTTCTTAATCACAATGCAAAAAAAATTATGGTAAATAAAGGACTATAAAAATACTGAAAATCAATTGGAAAAGAAATTACTTAATTCCAAAGAACTGGTGGGTTGAAGAGCAAATCATAGAAATGGTAAATAATTTCAGTAAAGATGATGGAAGCAATGAGATAATATGCCAACATTTTGGGGATGTAGTCGAAGCAGTCCTGAGAGGACTAAACACTTTTCTTAACAAAAAAAAAAAGGAGAAACAATAAATCAATGAATTAGGTATGCAACTAAAAATACTAGGAAAACAAAAAATTTTAAACCTCATTTAAACACAAAATTAGAAACTGTGAAAAAAATCAAAGAAATTAACAGAATTGAAAATGTAGAAGACCCATTGAATTAATAAATAAAACTACAAGCAGTTTTTTTAAAAAAAAACAATAAACAAGCCATTTGTTAATTTGATTAAAAAGAACAAAGAGGAAAAGCAAGTTACCAATATGAAAAATGAAAAAGAAGTTACAGCAAATAAAGAAGTAAAGGATATTATTAGAAACTATTCTCAGATTTCTTTGAAACATAAGAAGAATTGTATGAACTGATGCAAAGTAAAGTAAGCAGAGTAATTAAGAAGTAAGCAGAAGAGCAATTTATACTGTAATCTCAATGTTATAAAGAGGGACAATTTTGAATGCTTTTATAAACTGACTAAGAAGGAAATGAACAGAACCAAAAGAACAATTTCCACAACAGAACACTTTGAAGACCAATGCCTTTGAAAGCTGTAAGAACTATGACCAAAAAATGACCATTCATGATTCCAGTGGACAATTAATGATAAGACATACCATAGTATGTCACCACCTAACAGAAAGATGATAGATTTAGGCTGCAGAATAAGACATATGTATTTTAGTATGCAGTCAAGGAGAAAAGGTGTTTTGTATTATGTATGATATATACATATATGTATACACACATATAATACATATATACACATACATAAATATGTATTTGTTACAAAGAATTTGTTTTTCTTTTCTTTCTTTTTTTCAATAGAGTGGGATGGAAAGAAAATAGATTTCTATTAATTAATGTTTTTAAATGGGGAATTTAAAATGGGGAAGTAGAGTTGAATACAGATGTAGAATGTAGCATATTCTTCCAAAGGAGGTCACTATATCATTGTTTTTGTTTAGTTGTTTTATGTTGTTATAAGAAATCTCCCATGAAGTAAGTGAGGATAATCTGTAAATATCTGCAATGTAAAAAGACATATCAGTAAAACTTTAAAATTAAATAATATATGTATGTAGAAGAATCTATATATGGTATTTGTACATACACATATGTGTAATTAATTGTCTTTAGAGAGGTAAGAGTTGAATCCATGGGAATAAGCGAGATTACCAAGAAAGAGAAGTATATAGAAAGAAGACCCGGGAAAGAATATTGAAGGATACTGATGATTAAACAGTAAAGAAAAGATGACAATCCAGCAAAAGAGACTGGAAAAACAGAGATCAGACAGGTACAAGAACCAGGAGAGGGCAGTATACTAGAAGCTAAAATAATCCAGAAGGAGGGAGTGGTCAGCAGTGTCCAGTGCTACAGGGAGATCTGGAAGGAGGAAGGAAATTAACTGAGAAGAGAGAGACGAATAGAGCAGTTAAAAGCCTACTGGTTACCTTTGAGGGGGAGTTTCAGCTGCCAGACCATATTCAGATTCCTGGCCTATCACCTTTCTAGTTCAGGTGCCAAATTCTGTAAACTCATCTGGTTTTCCCATTTCTTATTCCTAAGTTTGGTCCCCCAGCATTGTTGTTTTCCTTTTCATTTTCTCAGAGGAGATTCTTAGAACTGTTGCTGTTCAGTTGTTTCAGTCATGTCTGACTCTTTGGGAATACATTTGGGGTTTTCCTGCAATGGTTTGTGATTTCCTTCTCCAGCTCATTTTATAGATGAAGAACTGTGGCAAATAAGGTTAAGTGACTTGTCCAGGGTCACATAGCTAGTAAGTGTCTGAGGCCAGATTTGAATTCAGTTAGATGAATCTTCCCGACTCCAGGCCTGATGCATTATGCCATCTGCTCTGCTTCTTAGCATTGTACCTGTGCCATTATGAAACTCTTTCTCTGAGGCCTGTTGTTCTTGGTATATCTCTTAGTCAGTTTTACAATTGGCTGCTCTGCCTGGCTTCCATAAATTACAGGAACCAGGAGAATCTTAAGCAAATTCCTCTTTCTGTGTCTCATCCCTACCTTTTGATAAATTATCCATGCCCCTCTGCCCTACACTTCCCATTTGATGCATTTATCACATGACTCAGAATAGTTAATTAATCGGTATTCTCTTCCCTTCAGAAGCACATGATGCTTTTCATGAATAAATGTCCCTTTGTTCACTTTCTTGTGACCCATTTCAGTATCAAAGGCTCCATTCAAAGGGAAGTTCCAGGCTGCAACGGTATGTCACCCACTTTTAAGGTCCTGAAGCCTTGAGCTACCTTAAACTTTAATGAGGTTATGGATGTGGATATGGAGACACATATAGGAGTGGACCTCCACTCTGGGCCTACAGGTAACCATTTGCTTTTAAGTCCTTGTTGGGGATGGAAGGTAAAATAGGAACAGAGACAAATCTCAACCAATTTTTCCCAAGAAGAAGTACTGAGAGTCTTTGGAGAGACTTTAAAACATCAAAGGTCTGGTTTTCTTAGTAATTATGTTTCTTCCTCCCTCAAGTAACTTTTTTAGCTAGTGTCTTAGAACCATTTATAATAGTATGTTTCTTTAGGGAGCTGCTTCTTGGAAAATTATGGTATCATGTAAGGGAAATGCCTTGGAAAGACAGAATATGGGAGCTTGCAAAGTTATGGTTTCAGTTGGTTAATCACATATTGAAGAAGAGACATTTTAATTGGATGCAAAGGCATTCAGAAAGTCATGGATACAACACTGAGCCTGGAGACAGGAAGACTTGAGTTCAAATCCTACCTCAGACACTTACTAGCTATTTGACCCCAGGCAAGTTACTTAACCTTTGTTTGCCACAGTTTTCTCATCTATAAAATGGGTATGATAACAGCACCTTACCTTGTAGGGCTGTTGTGAGGATCAAAGGAGACAATATTTAGCATGTGGTAGGTACTCTATAACTGCGTATTTCCTTTCTTTCCCTTCCCCTTCCTGTCAGCTTCCTATTATAGTCTCTTCACCTCAGTGTATAAACCAGACTACCAGGGGCAGCTAGGTGGCACAGTAGATAGAGCACCAGCCCTGGATTCAGGAGGACCTGAATTCAAATCCGGCCTCAGACACATAACACTTACTAGCTGTGTGACCCTGGGCAAGTCACTTAACCCCATTGCCTAGCCAAAAAATAAATAAATAAATAAATAAATAAATAAATAAATAAATAAATAAATAAATGAGTAAATAAATGAATGAATGAATGAATGAATGAATGAATGAATGAACAAGTAAATAAATAAATAAATAAAAGAGATTACTTGTCCATTATACATAGAATATAGAATGTTGGAGCTAGAAGGAATGTTATACCAGGTTATTTACTAGTCCAAACCTTCCTTTACAAAAGAGGAAACTGAAACCCAAAGAGAACTGACTTGCCCAATGTCTCACAAGTAGTTAGTAGCAGATTTAAGAAACAATGAACAGGGGGGCAGCTAGGTGGTACAGTGGATAGAACTCCGGCCTTAGAGTCAGGAGAACCTGAGTTCAAATCCGGCCTTAGACGCTTGACACTTAGTGGCTGTATGACCCTGGGCAAGTCCCTTAACCCTGTTTACCTCAGTTTCCTCATCTGTAAAATGAGCTGAAGAAGAAAATGGCAAATTACTTCAATATCTTTGCCAAGAAAACCCCAAATGAGGTCAGGAAGATTCAGATATGACTGAAAAAATGACTGAACGTGAACATGGCTCAATAAGTTGAAAAGGAAGGGATATATTCAAAAAATGAAACTGATATAAAAGCAAAAGATGCCACTGGGAAAAAATGTAAGTAGTTATGGACAGAGTTGTACTAGACACCCATCCAGGTCTCCTTGCTTTTAGTGTCATGTTGCCAGTGCTATCTCCACTCTACAAGTTTGACTTATACCTAGCTGCTCTTGAGAAGATCATCAAGTCTATTGGGAGAAGGCTGGACAGTCTTCACCTCTCCAGGACCCCATAAAACTTCCCTGCAAGCTGCTCTCCAGTTTTAGGTTTAGAGATACTGTACAAGAAAGAAAGAGCATGGAATGTGGAGTCAAAGGACTTACTTTTGAATGGTAGCTCTGCTATTTAATATCTGTTTGGTGACCTTGGACAAGTCACTTAACCTCAGTTTACTCATCTGCAAAATGATCCTGTTGGATGGGGGTGGGGAACCTGTGTCCTCTAGGCCCTTTGACTGAATTCAAGCTTAGAGGCTGCAGCTTTCCTACCCCTGGACTAGGTGATCCAAAATTCCTCCTGGCTCTAAATTCTATGAACCTCTTTGCTCTGTAGCTGGCCTCCTGCCATCAACCCAGGGCCAAGTGAAGATGTACTAGGTCCTGAGCCAGAAGCTATGAGCCTGAGAGTCCTTTGTTCCCTGCTTGTCATGCATTTGGGGCAACATGACACTAATCTCCATTCTGATCATTTTGTCTATACAGGTACTCACCAGAAACTTCTGTCTTGTTTCACTTTTTAATTTCCACGTTGGCCTGGTCAATGGGTTGCCAAAGCTGAATTTCCCTGGCTAATGCTTTTCCTAGTTTCTAAGTCCCTTATGACAGAGTCAATGATATTGTCCTGCCAATAGTTAGTAAATGACATTGCCAAATCTTGCTTCCTAATCATGCTTAAAGTTTACTTTTTGCAAAAAGTCTGTCTAGACTCATATTCCCCCAAGGCTCATTTCAGGTACATGCCTGAAGAGCAGTTATTGGTTCAATTTGTGTTTTAAACAATCTGTAACTTGGATTCAAAATATCTATGTGGATCTCATTATTCCTGTTTGTTCTCACTCTCAATGAGCTCACAGTCAGCCTCTTCAATTTTGAGTCCCCATAGGGTTCTGTACAAAGGGTATATGTATGTGTGTGTGTATATGTGTGTGTGTGTATGTGTATATGTATATATACACGCACATGCGCACACACACACACACACACACACACACATATATATATATATATATATATATATATATATATATATATATATATATATATATATATGGCACAGGGAAATGACAGAAGTGGTGATCATACTTCATCCAACATTTCTAGCCTTGTGGGCATATGAAGCATTTCATCCAGACCATGTCTTTAAGGAAGTTTCTAACCCTGCTCCCAAAGTGTTGTTTAAATGTACATTGTCCTGACCAAGAGTCAGAAGACTTGACTTTTAATTAATTTCCCAATCAATAACTTCATACTTAAAAAATCTCTCCAATAACATCTTTTCTTTAACAAAGAAAAAATTAGATAAAACTCAGCCATCAAAGCAACTGTATCTACTTGCATATGCTTAATTTCATAGCCATAGTTCCCTCTCTACTGAGAAAAAGAAGGGAACTGTGTTTCTTCTTTTCTCCAGCAATATAATTGGCCAGTGCTAATCTGAGCTCAGTAACATTTTAGCATTGTCATCTTTGACATTGTTATCCTTATTGTAGGTATTGCTTTTTTGGTTCTACTCTATTCATTCTGTTATCAGTTCATGCAAATCTTCCCATGTTTCTATGTGTTCCTCATATTCACCATTTAGTATGATACAATATTCTATAACATTCCTATGCCACAGCTTGTTCAGCCAATCCCCAAGAGATGGGCACCCATTTTGTTTCTGGGGTTCTTTTTTTTTTTTTACTGACAAGTATTCCAACTGACATTTAAATCCCAGGTAAACTACTTTGCTTTCATTTAAAATAATAAGCAATCCTGACCCTGTATGGAAGATGAAGATGTTTTAATTGTGCTAAAAGGTATGGGAAGCACAGGCAGGACAGTGAAGGATGGAGAATTTTTTAGATAAATAGTTTTGCAGCAGTTGGTGATGAAGCTACCCGCGAGATTAGAGGAATAAGATTATTGCCAACACTTGCACTAGCTGGGTTCAGATGTTTCCCTTAGTTAGGCAGGGTTTCTGTTCAGTTGTGAGCGCACCTGCACCTGACAATTGCTGGTAGGGGCTCTGGAAGGAGGAGGAAATAAATAAATAGTGATGTGAGGGGTCTAAGATGAGATAGCATGGATATTTTGGGGCAGTATTGGAATTGAATATGGAGGAGATAAGATGAGGAGATTGGCCTGGTTTTGAGAAAGAGAGACAGATAGACAGAGACAGAGAGATAGAGACAAAGAGAGACAGACACAGAGACAGAGAGAGAAATGGAGACAGACACAGAAATGGAGACAAAGAGATGGAGACAGAGACAGCAACCAGGCTAAAGCCAAAGTCATCTTGGGTGGGAACTATTCTCTTGAGAGGGATGAGAAGGAGGAAAGGAGAGCAGCAGAACATCAAATGAGAAAGTCAGCTAGTATAAGACAACTGAGGGGCCCTAACTCCTGGGATTGTGCTACAGAAACCTAGAAGAGTATTGCACCCACAGCACCCATGGGAAAGGGATTCAAAAGTGGGATGTGTCCAAAATCTACCACTCACTTAATCCCAAGACCCAGAACCCACCCCCAACCAACTACTTCACACTCTAGGGTAAGGGATAGGAAGGAATATAATGTACCAGATCATGGAATTAGCTGTTCAAATTTCTATTCTCAGCTTTCCTTTAAAATCCTTCTTGGTAGTCCATGGTAGTACCAAGGACTAGTATACAGAATGTTCATTGAAAGAATGAGGGTGGGAATCTTTGATTTCCAAAGCTTTTGCTCCTCCCCCTACTCCTGAGTGGTAGGAACAGTGATGTCAATTTCCCAGTGAGCCTCTACTGTGCAAAGCAAGGAGCAGGCTAAAGATTTGGAGTCATGAAAATACCATACTGCCTGAGAGGTGGCTAAGTTCTCTCTCATTGACCTTTGGTATTTACCTGTTATTTCTAAAACAGAAAGGTTTATAAATCTGTGAAATTTTAGTTCATTATCCAGGGCAATATGTCTTGGTTTGACATTTTCAGAAGGCTACTCTCTAGATATAATTCTCTGGTTGTTATTGTTGCCTGGAATAGAAAACTCTAGGCTGGGAGCGGGTCTCTAGGGGCTTAGGCTACTCCTGCTCCCTTCTCCTTCCTGTACTAGGAAAGGACCAACAGAATTGTTTCCTCATCATTAGCATAGTGAGTATACTCTGTCCTCACTCTCCTAAAGCAAGGCCTGATACATCTTCCTTTTGGGGTTCTAGAAGTAACCTAAGAGGTTTAGAAACATCTGTAATATCACCAGCTGTGTTCCATCCACTGGTAGATGCCAGTTAATGACTAGAGCCCCAGTTTCATGTAACCAATTAATATCAATTAGCTTTTACAAAAGAGTTGTTATTTTGAAGATTTATAAGAAAAAAAAACATTTTCCCTCTACAACACTTTGGGGGCATACTCTTCTATTTCATCTGGATCTGTAGGAAGAATAAGTTCAAACTTAGTTTAGTTACTATATGACATTGACCCCACCAAGTTCATATCCAAAAGTATCTCAGTTCTTAATAAGCTGGGTCCCAGAGATCATATGCTAAAATTATTGCTTGTTCCATAGGTCATCAGTGCTGAACTGGCTGCAGAATACAGACTATGGTGCCTGGAGACTCACTTTTCCAACATTTTGTAATTCACAAGGTCAGTCATCAATCCCTTCACCTAAAACAGAAAAGAGTAAATACAGAGACCAAGGACTAAGACCCATTTCACAGAGTCACATATCAGCTGTGATGCAGAAAAGTTTCAAGATCTCTTCCATTATAGCATTATCTCCTCTAGAACCCACCAGCAAAGGAGTCAAATCAAGAGAGAATAGGAAAAAAAAAAGGCTAAGGCTCTGGTCACTAGTCCATTGCGGATTCCTCCACAGCTAGTCAAAGAGTTCCTATTCATCATGCTGTTAGCTGACCAAAAACCAGTTATGGAATGCCAACACATGCTCCAAAGCATCTCCAGGGTACTTCTATTACTCATTATCACTACTGTTCTAGGAGTAGGCTCTCCAGTCTTTCCATGTGAGAGAGATGCTATTCAGGGCATGCTTGCATGTGTCAGTCCTTGTTTCATTAGTATAGTCTTTTGTCTCAAAAATGTTTTGTTACAATCATTGGAAAATATTTTCCCCTTCCTTCCTTCATTCCTTCCTTTCCTTCCTTCCTTCCTTCCTTCCTTCCTTCCTTACTCCCTTCCTCCCTTCCTTCCTTACTTCCTCTTTCTACTACTCTAAGTTGTGTCTCTAGCCCTCAAACTGGAGAGTAATTTGCAGGGAAGAAGTTTTCTGGGTCCCCGAGGAGATGAAGACTGGTCAGCCTCCCTTCAACAGACTTGATGATCTTCTCAGGAGCAACTAGGAATAAGACAAACTTACATAGTGGAGACAGCACTGGCACAAGAACAAGGAGATCTGGACAGGGGTCTAGTCCAGCTCTGTCCATAACTACTTACATCTTTTCCCATTGGTATCTTTTGCTTTTATATCATTTTCATTTTCTGGATATTTCCCTTTCCCTTCTCTTTATTTCTTTAGGAGCACTGGGTAATTGAATCTATACAAGTATCTTGTATATTTTGGTAGATTCATCCCCAAATATTTTATGTATTTTGTAGATATTTGGAATGGGAATTCCCTTTCTATTATTGCCTCTTAGATTTTATCATTATGGAGAAATACTATTGATTTTTTTTGGGGGGGGCTAGGCAATGGGGTTAAGTGATTTGCCCAGGGTCACACAGTTAGCAAGTGTCTAAGGCTGGATTTGAACTCAGGTCCTCCTAACTCCAAGGCACTATGCTACCTACCTGCCCCTGTGTTTATTCTTTTGTATTCTTCTTCTTTTTGGGGTGGTGGGGTTAGGCAATTGGGGTTAAGTGACTAGTGACTAATGAGTATCATGTGTCTGAGGCTGGATTTGAACTCAGGTCCTCCCGACTCCAGGGCCGGTTCTCTATCCACTGCGCTACTATTGATTTTTGAGAATGTATTTTATAACCTGCAACTTTTCTGAAGCGATCCATTGTTCAGTTAAAATATTTTCTAATTCCCTTGAATTTTCTAAGTAGACTATCATGTCATATGTAAATAGGGATAGTTTTATCTTCTCTTTACCTATCATTGTACTTTTAATTTCTTTTTCTTATCTTATAGCTATTGATAGCATTTCCAAAATCACCTGCTTTTTTGGATTCATTTAATGCATAATAATTTTCCCCCCAACCTTTCATTTTTATTCTGTGGATAGCTTTGTTTTTTAGATCTATTTCTTGTAAGTAATTTTAAAATTTTGTTTTCTTATACAATATGTCACTCTCATGTTATTGGATTATTTAATCCATTCACACCTAAAGTTATGAGTTAGGTTTACATCTTCCTCCATGTGTGTGTATTATTGGTTTTTTTCTGAATAAGATTTTTTATTTGTTTCTTTTCCTCTGTAATAGTATGTTGTCTCTTCAGCTGTTTTTGCTTAATCTACTTAAGCCAATCCTTTTCCCACCAGAGCTTTCCCCCTTACTCTCAACCTCCTTCCCAATTTGTCACTCCTTTCCTTGGTTTTGGAGTTTTCTACATCAAAGCCCTGTTTATTATGCCCACCTTTTGAATCAGTCTATTAACAAGCATTTATCCTAGGAAGAGAGAGTAATTTATGTTTCCCAGTACCTGTATTTATCTTCCCTAAGTCCCTCCCAATACTCCTAAATAAATTCAGTGGAAAGGGATACAGATCAAAATTTAGTCGGTGTTCATATTTATGTTAATATAAATTTAAAGCTATTCCAAATATTTTTACTTCCTTTTTCAAAGTAAATCTAATTAGTTATAGCTGTCTTTCTCTGACTCCGATTTCTTCTAATAGCCAAAAAAAAAAGGGCAACTTCAAAGCAGGAAACTTCACTAATCAAGACACATGAGACAAATCTAGAAGCTCAAAGGCTATCTCATTTTAGAGCAAAGCTCATTTTAAGTAATTCCAACTAATTCAAATTATTTGTGTTGTTCCTGTCTTTCTCTGTATGTGTATGCATGTTGTCTCTGTGTCAGTGTGCATGTGCCTGGCAGTGGGCTTGTGTGCATACATGCCTCTGGATGGAAGTGTGCATGTGGGAAGAAACATAAATAATTTTTTTTTCTATTATAAAATCTTGTTTGGAAGTTTTGAGAGGTCAAGAGGAAAAGAGAAAATGTCCAGTCCTTCATCTTGTTGTTCATGTCCAAAATTGTTGTGTATTTTTTAGTGTTTGAAGATACTTTGTTCTTACATTTCTATTACTATTCACTGACTTCCTCCAACAAATAAAAGCTTTCTCTTTTAACAAATAATTACTTTATCCTCTTATTTTACAGATGAGAAAACTGAGGCCTAAAGCGACATAACCAATGTCATACGCATGGCAAAGTTTTTATTCAAATCCAGGGTACTCTGGCTCCAGATTTAACACCTTCTGCTGAATCCATTCTGATTTCCTTCCTTTTTTGGAATATACAATTTCCCTTGATATACTTAAATTTTGTTTTTCCTTATGCATTTTTTATTAAATTACTTCATTCTGTGAAGGATCTCATGGTTATGTTGACTGATAGTACAGAAAATATGAAAATTAATTTGGTTTCTAATACTACCTTTATTACATTTACTCTAGCTATATTAACTGAATCTCCAGTTATTTAATGGCTCCTTTATTTCTGAAAAAAATGTTTAAGAGCAATATTCATAAAGGTCTTATTGTATCTTGATGGCTAATTAATGCCCTAATATTTTATGTATTTTATCATTGCTGAAATTAGTATTCATCAGTTTTGGGGGGTTTTGTTAGTGATATACAGAAATGTTGGTAATTTTTGTGAATTTATCTTATATCCTTCTATTTTTTAGAAGCGATTTATTATGCTAATTTCTTTTTGTGAAATCCTCAATTTTACTGGGAAGTTTGTTAACACTTTCCCAGTATAAGTAAAGGAAAAGTGTATAGATTCCAATAAATACTTTTCATAATAGTACAGAAAAATCCTTCCATTCCCATGAGTTTATATAACCCAGAACTAGAACAAAATGAATATAATAGATTATTGTTTGATAAACCTAAGATCACAAAACACTGGAGAACAAATTCATTATTCAATAAAAGCTGTTGGGAAGGTTTTATGAAATATCACAATTACTTCCAAGTGGATCAATAATCTAAGTCTTTTTGAAATAATAAAAGATTAAAAGATGATGGAATCTTACATTGTGAAGAGGTGCGAAATTCCTAGCTATTCTGCAAGTAAAAGGAGACAAAATAGATTAATTTTGTTATAAAGAAATAAAGAATTGCCATGGTCAGGAATTCATCACCAAAAGCTTTTGTACTGTATCCATTACATAGATAGGCTGGCCTTTGGAAAGCAGCTTGTCACTGGTGCAGTACTTGAAGTTCTTCCAGTGTAGTAGAACTTACCACTACACCATGATGAGGCAGAAGAGTACATAACAAAACACAATGTACCCAATACAAAAAGAAAAGAAACAGGGTGGGGAGAATGACTAAAAGTTTGCTAAAAACTTTTCTTAGAAAAATTTGACTTCAAAATCCTTAAGAAGAAATTGATACAACTTTACAAGAAAATATTCATTTCCTGATAAATGAGTGGTCAAAAAAAATATTAAACAGATAGTTCTCAAGAAAAGAAACACAATATTGTGCTTTAAGAAATGAGAAGCAGGATGATTTCAGAAAAACCTGGACTTAACGAACTGATACAGAGTGAAGTGCACAGAACCAGGAGAACATTGAACACAAGCAACAACAATATTGTATAATGAACAGCTGTGAATAACCTAGCTATTCTCAGCAATGCAATGATCTAAGACAATCCCAAAGGACTCATGGTGAAAAATACTATCTGCCTCCAGAGGAAGAACTGATGGTGTCTGAATACAGATCAAAGCACACTAATTGTCTCTTTCTTCCTTCTTTTTTCCTTCTTTCTTTTTTTCTCCCTCCCTCCTTCCTTCCTTCCTAATATGGAAATGTTTTACATGATTGCACATGTATAACCTATATCAGATTGCTTACTGTGTGAAGGAGTGGAGAGGGAGGGATGGAATTTGGAGCTTAAAACTTCAAAAAAAAGTAACAAATGCTAAAAATTATTTTTACATGTAGTTGTGGCAAAATAAAATATTATTAAGAAAAAATATGTTGATTGCATTTTGAATTTTAGTTAGCTCAGGCTATTGATATTACTTCCTGATTATCTGAGTAAAAAGCAGCTTTCAGGAGCACTAAAACTGATCTGATGCTTGGCTAGTAGATCTTGAAGGACAACTCATGCAAGGGAGCTTTGCTTTGCTGAATTGACCCAAGATGTCCTCAGCGCTCATCCTTGTTGAATTTCCTTCTCTGCTATAATAATATGAATATTACTGTTAGCATTTTTCCATGCCTAAATTCTAAGCAACAGACTCCCTTAAGGGGAAACTGTCAGGGTGATCTCAAGACCACCAAGCCTTATATTATAGTAGCTATATCTAAGTAAATCTTTTTTTGTTAAATGTTGAATGACCTACAAATATCTCGTTTTGTGGCAATGCTGAAATTAAATTACCAGGAACTGGCCTGAGGCCTAGCCTGGAATACTTCTCCAGCATAAATTTACATGATTGTAATATGGATTTTGGCTGTGATCTGAACAGGTATTTCCTTAAAAGAAGAGCATGAGATGCACTTTTTTACATGGCATCATGCACAAGAGTATTGTACTGAAGTCAGCTTGAACTAGCTCAAAGGAGCCAATTGTTAAATTTTCAGCATTTACACCTCAGGAATCCACAAATGCTACAAATCAGTGTTTGTTGTTTTGTGGATTGTCTAGTTAAGAAAATTTTAATAATGCAAATTAAATAAAAAAAGAAAAGCAACACAAATTATCAACAATCACATGAAAGGGTGTTCAAATTCCCTAATAATCAAAAAATTCAAACTAAAACATTCCAGGATACAACTTTACACCAATTACATGGGCAGCAATGGTTAAAAATGATAAAATTCAGTACCAAGACAATCATATTTTATTCTATTGGTTTAGCTGTGAATGGGGACAATCTTTTTTGTAAGATAATGGCTACAAAGCTATCATGCCCTTTGGTTCACTGATCCCATTACTGAGACTGTACTCTAAGCATATTATTTTAGGAGGGGAAAAAATCTATCTGTGTAAGAATATTTCTAACAGCATTATTCTAATAGGAAAAAAAAACTAGAAACAACCTATGTGTCCAAAGATTAGGAGCAGTTAAACAAATTTTGGATATTAATGTAATGGAATATTATTGTACCATAAGAAATGACAAATATTAAAGTTACAAAGAAATATCCAAAATACATATGAAGTAATGCAAAAACAAAATAACAACACACATGCTGATTATACCTATAATAACCATAAGCAACAAAAATCCAGGAAAATATACTGACAAGAAAAAGAAGTTAGGAAGGTATCGTGGAAACAAGACAATTTGGTTTCTAAGTTTTAAAGTTAATAAACATATTTCACATCAAAATAAACTAAAGACAATGGAAAGTTGCTATTTCAACATAGGCATTTAAAATAATTTTTGCTTTTGTTCGTATTTGAATATTTGCATTTTATTATGCATGTTAAGTTTATAATGATTTTTAAAAAAAGAAACATAAGAGGTTCTAGCTGAGGTAAAGAGAAGTGCTTCATGGTACTGTTTTCCTTCTCCTCCTTCTCCAGGGCTTCTAAGCCAAAAGAAGCCCTTCATGCACATATTTCATCTTAAAGGCAGTTGAGTTTGTTTTCACTGGGAAGTAATTAAGAGCCTCCTGAGAAGTACAACTTCCCCACCTCGTGGCTAAAGCCTAAAACTCCACTGTCTTCAGTTCTTTTCCTTTAGTTTAAGGCTTTGTTCCATATCAAGTTCTAAGGAAATGTCACATTGCAACCCTTAACTTTTACTGTTTTGAGATGAACCTCTCTTTGTAGAGCACTTGGGATTGTCCAGTACAAATATAGAATCACAGGGACTGCCTGGTTTTGAATCTCTCCTTTTACACATGAGGAAACTGTGCTGAGAGATATGGCCTGTCTTAATCGAGGTCTCACAGTGAGTTAGCGACAGAACTGATCTGAGTACCCACGTCTTCTGACGTCTGCTTCAACTCCCTGAGGGCACTTACTAGTCAGATTTTGCTTTTGTATCCCCAGTGCCTGGCACATAATAAACATCCTGAAAATGCTTGTTATATTAGGTGGGGAAAAGAATATGTATGTAACAAGTATGATATGGGCTCATTATCACAGAATAAACCTGCTGTATCTTTCCTCAGGATTCTAGGTGTACTCTGAAAGTGTAGGGTGTCTTTCCTTAATGCCATTGGCTCAAACCCTTACCAGTTATTCACCCCACCACCACTGTTAGCCACCAGTGACCAGCTAGTACTCAAGTTCTATTTAACCACTCAACATTAACAACTTTTACAAAGGGATATTTACTTCAAAGATATAGCAAAAACAAAAGTGCAAATATGATAACTTCTAGAAAAGTGCTGACTGGCCAAAAAGACCCTGGGATCTGTAGTCCCTTCTAGCTTGGGAAGAGAGGAAACTAATGGGATAGTAGCCCTCAGATTAGATGTATTTTGGGTACAATGTACAGCTAGAGTCGAGAGAGAGAGAGAGAGAGAGAGAGAGAGAGAGAGAGAGAGAGAGAGAGAGAGAGAGAGAGGGAGAGAGAGAGAAAAGAAGAAGAAGAAGAAGAAGAAGAAGAAGAAGAAGAAGAGAAAGAAGAAGAAGAAGAAGAAGAAGAAGGAGGAGGAGGAGGAGGAGGAGGAGGAGGAGGAGGAGGAGGAGGAGGAAGAACTTTTTTTACTTTGTATGAATGCTGAATTATAGAAGTTAGTAGAACAAGGGGCAGCAATACCCAAGACTAGGAATGAGACAAGTTGGAGTGAGTTTGTGTAATCCTCAAATACAAGGATTTCATTAGAATACAGTCAAGTAGCCAAGATTTTAAGTGGAACCCACCTAGATTTAGAATTATGAGACACTCTAAATGACACAGAAAATAGGCTGAAGGGTGTCTGGAAGGATACCCACTGGGAAGTCCCATATACAATTAGCCCAGGAACTCATGTGAAAATGTGGATCAAAGATATAAAGTAGAATAATTACTCTAGTGATACAAAAAATGAAAAAAAAGCTCAGAGGAAAGCTTCTGAAAGAGAATATCAGGGGTAACATTGCTATCCTTTGGCAAAGTCCTGAACTGAGGGCATAATATCCTTACATCATTGTCTAAGGGAGATAAGGGGAAGCAGACAACTTCTATTTCAACTCTGGAGAGAAAGGGAATGCACAGGTTAAATGCGCTCAAGAAGAGATTGGGACCTTAGTACATCGGAGGTTGAGGACAACAGGCCCTGTTATAGTGAAAAGGAAGTAAAATCAAGGCAGGAGATTGTCTTGATCCCAACAAATACTGACAATGATCTCATCACTGATTCCACTGGCTCCTTTTGGGGATGGAGCCAAGATGGCGGAGTGGAAGCAGTGACTTGCTTGAGCTCTCCCCCAAACCCCTCCAAATACTCATAAAAAATGGTTCTAAACAAATTCTGAAGCAGCAGAACCCACAAAAAGACAGAGTGAAACAAATTTCTAGCCCAAGACAACCTGGATGATTGATCAGAAAGGTGTATCACGTTGGGCTAGGAGTGCAGTGCAGCACGGCGTGGGCGTGCAGGCCCCAGCGAACCTGGAGCAGGCCTCAGAGGACTGTGGAGGTTTCCAGACTCCTCAATCCACCAATGCCAAAGACAATTTAGAAGGTCAGTGGGAAAAGTCTGTTTCTGTTGTGCTGAGAAAGGAAGGTGGGGTCTCAGCTCCATTCCCCAAGAGCGTGGCCCTGAGGGGGGAGGGCAGCTGCTTCCCGAGCTTCTGGCCCACAGACTGAGGGGGAATCCAGTGGCTGATCAGAGAGGGATTGCAGGGATCTCTTTGCCAGTGCTGAGGCAGGAATCTCTTGCTTTGCCCTTGTTTGGATCTGGGTCACATCTGGACGGGGGTCCTGGGATGAGGAGGAATGCTGGCATGGTGGAGCTTGTAGTGGCTGTGCAGAGGAACCCCTCCTCACAGTTACAGGACAGAAAGGAATACTTGTAGTATTGGAGTAAACACCTCGCCCCTTATCATACCACCTTGGAAGAACTGAGAATTTACAAGTCCCTACAAGTATCTCTGAAAACAGCTGTACAAGCCCCCGAAGCTTGGGACAGTACATTCTCCACATTGGAAGCAGATTCACACCTTAACAAAGAGTTTAAAACTCAAGTAATTGGCCGGGATCATGAGCAAGCAGCGCAAAAAGAGTCAGACTATATTATCTTACTTTGGTGACAAAGAAGATCAAAATATACAACCGGAAGAAGACAACAAAGTCAAAGCTCCTACATCCGAAGCCTCCAAGAAAAATATGAATCAGTCCCAGGCCTTGGAAGAGCTCAAAAGGTATCTTGAGAAGCAAGTAAGAGAAGTAGAGGAAAAACTGAGAGTGATGCGAGAAAATCACAAAAAATAAGTCAACCACTGGCTCCTTTCCATGTAGACTCATAGAGGAAACTGTAAAATTGAGAATGTAGGGGCAGCTAGGTGGATAGAGCTCTGACGTTGGAGTCAGGAGGACCTGAGTTCAAATCCATCCTCAGACACTTGATACTTATTAGCTGTGTGACCCTGAGCAAGT